AGAGCTAGATATTACATTTGTTGTTTGAACTTACGGACAATATGTGAATTATATTATTTCTATAATTACATAAATATTTTATTTTGTATTTAAGTACTTTAATAAATATAACATAAAGTGATATTGGGCTCATTGAAATTGTCTGATCAAGATTCTTTCATTGAAAACTAGCATGTATGATACAAGGACCATTTGACCCTTGAATTAATGTCCCAAAACTTTCAATCACATTTCTAGCACTTAGTTTGGTTTAATTGTACTTGAATAACATCACTTTTGATATTATTGTATTTGTACTATTAAAAGTTCTTTTTTTTTTATATTATAAGATTGCTAATATAGAGATTAGATGATCATGAACTTAATTAATTTTTTTTTTTTTACTTTAATATCACATCAATGTTAGTACTTGGTCAAATGAATTTTTTAATGATATATTAATGAAAAATTTATTAGTGCTTGTTAACCTAAAAACCACCCACTTATCAATATAAGAGATGGTCTCTATACACAAGATGATAGCTTTATTTATTAGCATGTCCTCTACATATTGTTTTTAATGCGTTATGAGTTAAGTGTGTTTACATATATGTGTGTACGCACGAGCGAGTGTGTCGCGTATCTCGACATGTTGGTTGGCATACTTGGTGTAAGACCCCTCAGGCCGGGGGTTTGAATCCCCCTCTAGCGACGTGAGCCTTAAGGAGGATGATACTCATATCGTTAAATACATTATGACCGGCTAGAGACTCGTATAATAGCGTCTCTTTCTTGAAAAGTGGAATAACTCCGTCCTACAAGTTCTTTTTAGTAGGGCTTGTCGTCCGCTCGCAAACAGTTTGTGTGCGACTTATTACGTGCATAGCTATTGTTAGATTTGCTCGTAGTCTAAGACAAATATTTTTTTTCTCAACTCTTACAAATAAGCCAAATACAAATAAACTTTTGTTCGATTGTGTTTTACTCGTTTTGACTCAAATTAAATAAATAGTAAAATAAAAAATATTATTATAATTTTTTTATATTAATTTATATGATATTTTTTTAAAAACATTAATTTTTTTTATTATTCAAATCATTTAAGCTAATTTTGAACCAATCATAATGTTTGAATTGAGCCAACAATAACATCCTATTCATTTTTTTTTATATATAAAATGGACGGCAAAATGTGTCTGCCTGCCCCATATGCACTAATTTGATCCAAATGAATTTGAACCTAAGACAAAGAGGACTTACGTCGAAGCTGCAAACCAACAAGCCATTTGTGCATGCACACACAATAACATCCTATTTATGATCCATATTGAACACAAGCCTATTTCTAATAAGAAAATTTAGATTGATCGAGCCGAACACAAACGAACACTAGACTTATAATAACTCCAATTATTTAGCAAGATGGCTCCTCATCCTCCTCCTCCTCCTCAAATTTATCTTCAATTTCATGTAACTATGAGATGTCAACCCCACCAAAAAATGCATTTATAATCAAATACGAAATAGGTTTTGAGAAATCAAATATATCACATGAACCACTAAAAATTTTCATAAGATATATGAAAGTCAGTAAATAATTGATTTAAAATATTAATATTAATAATGACCTTAAAAATAGCAAATAATTAGTACCAAATAAATTAATTAGTTGAAGAAGGCTCCAAATCAATTTTGGTAGATTTCTAGGAATAACTCAACAATTATGTGAAATTGTTAAGCTTAGGGTTTATTTGATTTATGTAAAATAATAATATTATTAGAAATTTACATATATATATATATATATATATGTATGTATATATATATATATATATATATATATATACATATATATATATGCAATAATAATATATTTATTTTAAATAAACCCTTAATTATAAAGCACCAAGGAATCCCAAAGGCCAAACTTCCTTATTCGTGGGATTGGAACAAGAGCGGAACCAATATTATTTTTTGAGTAGGCAAAAGCATCAAATATGTATTTTTTTTTAAGTATTGGAGAAAAAAATCAAGAATAAGCAAAATCATTAGATTATCTAAACTACATTATATTTTTACAAAAATATATAAGAAAAAAAGATGGACGGCAACATGTGTTTGTCCACCCTATATGTGCTAAATCGACCCAAATTGTTTTGAACCCGAGACAAGGGAAACTTACGTCGAAGCTGCATACCAACAGACCACACACATACAGATAGATATGTATATATGTATAGATATATGTATATATCTATACATATGTACATATCTATACATATATATAAATCTAGATATGTATATATATAGATATGTATATACACATATATAAACATACATATATACACACATATACGTATACATATATACACACATATACAAATACGTACACACAAACACACAGATATATATATATATATATATAACCAAATGTGGTATTATGATCTCATTAATTGGAAGTTTAATTTTTACATGCATACTAACGTATGTATGCATAAAAATATGTATTTTAATTTACAAAGTTAAAATGGTAATACATTTATATGATAAAAAATATTTGAGTGGTATAAATTTCAAGAGTAAAAGTTAAGTTTTAGACATGTAAATACTACTTATTATGTATTTAAATGCCCAATATTTAAAAAATTTTCATGCATAACAATGGTAGAAATGTTCCATGAAAGCCCCATGACTCCCTTCATCACTACCAACTTCTGAATTATTATGCTTTAGTTTGCTTCCATTTCATCATGTAAGGAAGCCCATTATTATGCTTTCAATGAGAGCTTTGAGCCCATGAGTATAGTTTTTTGAATAAAATTCCTTAAAATGAATCCAACTTGTTACTTTCTTTAGCAAGCCAATAAAAATTTGAATTATTTTCTCTAAGAATGTGGGCGATTTTATATATTCAAATTGTTTAAGGTTCCTTATAGTATACCTTAAAAGATATGAAAGGGTGGCATTGGTTTTGTTAGAGGATTAGAGAAAGCTAATTAGCATCCACTTAAATCAAGATTACATAAGAACATCAAGAAATTTATAATTTCATAGCATAGTTAAGAGCATATAATTTAGTAAATATACTCAAAGTTGTGAAAATCGAACCGAACATTTGACCTTAAAAATAAAAGGTTCAAGGTTCATCGGTTCAACAAGGGTTGAACCTGATGACGTAATAAATATAGAAATTAATTAAATATGACATAAATAACATAATAATGATATTTTATATGCAAATACTAATTAAAAAAGCATTCAAAATTACATTATAAAATATAAAAACAAAAAAAAAGTTTAAATATAAAAATATTAAATAATTGAATAACTAACCTCATATTTGTAGCAATATATATATATATATATATATATATATGAAATATTGTATTTTGTATTTCCTTCCTTCAATATTTGATAATCTAAAAGTAAAATGTAGATGATAGAAAATTAAAATTAATTAAAAAAAACTAACGGAACTTGAAAGCCACAACCACAGCCTATTCTCTACATTCCTCTTATAATATCAAATATCACCATCAAAGGAGAAAGAAAAAACAAAACATTACATTCTTCTAAAGGACTGCTCCATTTTAATCACAATTTTATCTATATAAATAAGTCACGTTCTTTTGTATAATAAATCAAACAAGCTGGAGTAGATATTAGCTCTATGCAGAAAATAAAAATGATCACCCCAAACATACATTACAGTTTTAAATAAAAATGTAAAATAACTTTCATCTTCATTTCTTCCATCAAATCATTCATGGAAAAGAAAACAGGACAATCTCAAAAAAAAAATCGGTTATTAAAAACCGCGGCCGGTTCAGCAATTGACTGGTTCTGCCCAGATTTTCACCAGTCCAATCCCGATTATTCAAAATCCTGTTATCTCTAGCGTCCGGGCAGGCAACCCCGCCGATTCACTGTCCGACCAGTCCAACGAACAAATCCGATCCAGTTTTAACAACCTTGAATATAATCATGTTTTAGGCAATGGGTCAATAATGGTAATAAGGAAATGCCCTAGGACATCTCTTATAAGAGTAACACGACAATCACAACCATGGTTATTTATGTTTGGCACAGTAGCCATTGCTTAAAATATGTTATACACTTTATGAGCAACAGTCAATTGGGATTTGATCATAGAGTTTATAGATATATGACCCTACTAGTTATCATGTTAGAAAGAAGGAAAATATCACCAATGCCCCCATTGTATCATGTCATTAGATTGCCATTTAAATTAACACTTCCTCTTCCAATTGTATGTATTCCTCCTTTCATGATGCAAAATTAGATGATGTTTGCCTTAGCACTACTTCATGAATTTTGTGATTAGACTGAGAGGTTCATCATTAAATAAATAAATAAAGTTGAACAATCTAACAATTCTCTTGTAAGCCTTTAAGATATGGTGTTGATAGAGGAATAAAATGTTTTTGATGAGAGTAATCCTCCTAGAAAAAGGATAAAAATTGAAATTCTAAACACTTTTTTTTTCGGATAGAGCTCATGACATCATCAATAGGATATGGTCAATTTTCTTGATGTCGTGTGTTCTGCCCTTTTGTTTTAAGTATTGCTCCAGATCTCTCAAATCGGTGTATTTTTCAAGCTACGATTTGATTATGAATCAATCATATTTAGTTTTCCAATCCCTTTTGTTTTAAGTATTGCTCCAGATCTCTCAAATCGGTGTATTTTCCAAGCTACGATTTGATTAAGAATCAATCATATTTGTTTTTCCCATCCCTACAAAATCTATATGAAAAGGTCTTTCAAAAACACTAATAATACTTACTGAGTTTATTATATAATAGAATTTATCAAAACAAATTATAATTATAGCAATAGAAGCTACTTAAATCATCAATTCTAATACCACCAAAGTTAAGGGTAAGAAAAGCAAAAATAAATAAGAGAAATTATAAAAATATCATATAAGATAAATTAATCCTCATGCTTTCATAGTTCATAAGCTCAAATTTGGTAAATCAATTAAACTATGTATTAAAACTATAAAAAGTATTCAGGCAAACATTAATCTCTGTTACATACACTCTACCCACAATCCTGTATTAGAACTATATAAAACTCAAAAATTGAAGACAATAACTATCCCTGATTTACTGAATCCAAATTTACAGAATTTCCTAAATCCCCTTACCAAACAGCCCCTAAGCCTATAGAAACGTATACATTCCAATATAAAATTTGAATATCTAAAGAGTATGGAGAGGCCTCTGCCTTGCTAAATAGACATAATCTCTCCTCTCAGATTCAACCTCTTGGACAATCCTAGCAGCCCATTCCTTCTTATCATCTAAACCTGCTAAATGCACCATGAAATCTCCCCTGGAATATACTCCTGTTATCCATCAACAAGTTAAATGATCATAAAAATTTAACTCAGCACCAAAAAAATCACGAACTTAGGATCCGTTTGGGGCGGCTAGAGTTGCAAAAATAGCAATTTAAACTATTGTGAAGAAAGCAACTTTTTTAAAAGAGATAATTACTTTTAAGAAAGTTCGCGCATATATTTTATAGTTGTAAGTAAATTGCTTCTCACCTCATTAGTTTCTAGAAATATAGTAGTGACATGACAATGAACTTAAAAATAAAGAAGATTTACATACATACCGCTTAATTCCTATTTATTTACATATCTAACATTTAAACTTTAATGTTTACATATATATGTCATCTTATCTATGCATTAAAAGATGTAATTCACTCTTTAAAATTTAAAATAATGATATCTTTTATGTGATGCGAAAGATTTAGGCGGTATAAATGTAAAAAAGTAAAAATTTATGTGTTAAATATGTCAATAAACAAGAATTTAGTGGAATGAATGTAAATGCCCCCAAAACATAAAATAACCAAAAAGCTGCCCCAAATAGATCCTTAGCCTACGAGGGCGAGAAAAAAACCTCTCCATACAGCTCCTGATGAGAAGATGAGTTGATATACAGATTTCCAAGATGGGTGCCAAGGATACGAGTTGAAAAGACACTGCATCGGTGATATTCGAACATGATTTCTCAGTTCCTGAGATGATAGGTTTCCAATCAGAAACTTTAAGGCGTCGTTATCGCCGCTCTTCGTCGATCCAAATTGCACAAAGGATGTTTGGTTCCACCATGTTTCGAGAAAGTTTTCGCTCCATTTAGAACGTCGTACGAAGAAAACCCCTGAAGGGATAGAAATGAAATGAAGGATTCAAAATCAATAACCACAGACACCCCTAAGCAATGTTCTTGATGCTATGATAATTTTTAGCTTGAATTAGATGTAAAATTTTTTTAATGTTATTTTAAATTTAAATAAAATTCATATCACAATCCTAAAACTATCATACATCTGACTATCTTGATTACGAATATGATCACACTTCTTACTCTTATTAATAGGACAACTATAATCATAATAAATCACATTATGATGAGTCGCTTAATTTCTTTGAGTCGGATTTCAACTAGGACTACAGCAATATTTAGCCTCATAGATATAAATTAACTTCAAGAAATGCAAATTTTGTTGCATTGATACCTATTAATATTTGTGTGATGATAGAGTTCCTCATAAAAAATACGTCATTAATATCATGATTTTAAAAACTGAACCTGATCGGCCGATTCGACTAGTGAATCGGTCATTCAACCGATTCGGTTCAATCGCAGAATTGTTTCTGAATAGAACCGGGATTGAACCGGTCAGAACCTAGATTGAAATGGAAAAAAAAAAGAACTAGAATTGTTTTTAAGAATTTCCGGTTCAAATATTATTCAATTTTAGCATTTTGATTTTGATCGGTTGGTCATACATAATATATTTAGATTCAAGAAAGATAAAAAATCATGCTTTAAATTTTTTTATTTAGAATATTGTTCACAATATTAAAAAATAATTTCGAATTAAAATATTATTTGTTGAATCAATAAAAATTATATTAATATATCATTATTCTATTATTTAAATTATATTAAAATAATTTAAATATTTATTATGTTAGTCGGTTTTAGTCGGTTCAATCTCGATTGAATCTCGATTGAACCATTAAACCTTGAAAATTTGCTTCTTCTGATTCAATGTCCGGTATGATTTTCACAACATTTTTTTATAAAGATCTTATAATGACCATACATAAAATCAATCTCTTTCCATTTGAATCCTAAACAATATTATCATAATGATTTTTCAAATTATCATAAATTATTCAAACTATAAAGGCTAAAAAATATATATTAATTCTAGAATTTCATGCATCTCAATACATTTAAAAAGTAATCATTGTGTTAACTTGGTTTAGGACTACTATTATGATGACAGTTAAACTTAACAAGGAGATCCATAATCAATAATTAAGTCTCTATTGAGCTACTGCGGAGATTGAAAAACCTCTTGTTAATAATCAAATAAATAAACAGTAGGGATTTTTACATATGAGGCTTTTAAATAATATTATTTGCTTCCAAAAATTAAATTTACGCATCAAGGTCACTGTTAGGACGTCGTTCCTCCAGCCATCTGACTCCCTCCGCCACTGCTCTCTTGCCCTCCATCTCGAAGCCGCCCTTCTTAGTTGGCTTCCCACCCCGTAATTCCTCCTTGTTGTCGCCTCCTCCCCTTCCTCCGCACCTCATTCTCAGCAATCTCTCCGCCGTCAAAACCAAGCGTAGCGAGCCCGACCCAGCCCGCCCCACCGTCTCTCTTCCCCTGCCAATAATCATGCATGAGTTTCGAAGTGAGACTTCTTTCGGTGGAGAGCGCAAGCGCCTGATGACCGCAGTGACGAAGAAAAGACAGAAGCGCACTGATGAGTTAGAGAGTTTTGGTTAGATTTCGGAGGCGATATCGCTCCAGATGATGGTGGCCTTGCAGGAAGCTGCGGTGGCTGTGATAAGGGAGTCGGCGCAAGCAAGGAGGTAGAGAATATGGGGCCAAGCGAGGGTGTGAGAGAGTAAGGGAGGAGGAAGACGGGCGAGGAAGAGGATGAGAATGTTGTCGGATCACCATTTCATTGCCGGAAAGAATTATAAGAAGGGCTTCGATGGGATCCAAAATAGTTTGCGAGTAAGCTCGTGAAGAAGCGATTTGAGCTCACATACGCCTTCTTCTGCGATTTGAGCTGGTACGCGAACCACAGTTGTGCATGCGGCGAAGGAGATGTAGGCAGACAAGAATCATAATAGTGACCTTCATGCATAAATTTAAACTTTGAAAGTAAATAAGACTATTTAAGAGCCTCCCTAAGTAAAAACCCCTAAACATTATTATTATTATATTTTGACATAATTGCGAGATTTTTCTCCAAATATGCAAATCGAGCCACAATTTAAAAAGATAGTGCCTACTTCTCTTCTAAATCATAGATTGAGTTCATTTATCACTTATGCCGCCTCATGACTAATGGATCTTCTATTGTGTAGGAAGATTTACATACGAACAATTCAATTCCTACATCAGAAGACTAAGAAATATCATTGATCACAAGATATTTTCGAGCATCTGAGAACATTAATGTTATCCAAACTAAGCAATCTCAGGCTCATCAAATTCATCTTGAAAATAAACTCAATTTATTCATGCGCATGCGAGATTTGGAGAACATTTAGTGCTCCAATTAATATCTAAAATTTTCAACTATACATGAAATTCTTGATGTTGGCTCATTTAAACTCGAATGCAACTACTTTTATCATCATTAGATTTATCTCATTATGTTGTTCGGTTTGATTATAAATTTGCTAAAATAGAAATTTGAAAGGTCATAAATTTATAAAGTAAAAATAAAAGCAAGAAATTACCTGCGTTTATCCCGTTAACATCCTCTGTCGCCACAAAATCGGGAGAACTCTCGAAATCAGCATGTCCAATTACCGCCCGAAGAATGTTCTCCTAATGCGAAGTACAAAAAATCATCAAAATAAACAAATTTTCATTTAAAAAAAAATAATAATAAAATAAATAAAATAAAACCCTAAAATTACCAGGGAAATATCCGGGTTGGTCACCACTGTGTCCTGATGAAATATATAAAATTACCAAAAAACAAAAAAACAAAAAAAAAATTTTCAAAATGGAGAGTAGCAGAGAAGCAAGGAAACGTGGAGCTTACGGCATCGTTCCAGAAAACCCAATCGTGACTCTTGATCTGAGAACGGACGGCAAGGATCTTGCTCCAGCTCGGCGGACGGCTACGATCAACAGCATAATGTGCATCGATGAACTCGTACCCCATCCGCGCCGCATAGGCCCGCTTGTTTCCACCCACCGCCGCCATCACGCCGCGGAACGATCGCCGGCGCGACCGTCGTCGCTCGCCATCACCGCTCTCCTCCTCCGATAAGCTCACCATAGCAATCTTCAGTGTCCGATTGGTCGCCGATGTGGATATATCGGCGGCCGATGAGTTCGGAAGGCATCTCCGGCCAAGCTCGTTGGCGCAACGGAGTGCGGATGCACAGATGTGGAAGGAAGCTAGAAAAATAAAGGTAGAAAAGAGGGCGAGGAGAAGGAATGGGAGGCGGCGCCGGAGGAGACATGGTGGCGTAGTTCGCAGTCGCCGGTGACCCATCAGTGCTGGATTAGGGCTTAGAAGGAGCTGAAGTGGAAATGACCTGTTCTTCTGGTAGACCTTTGGCCATTCGTCATTTGGCGGCTCTTCAAATATTTAATGAGCATAATTACATACAGAGCACCTGATAATTGATATTTACAAATCAAATATTTATGTGATTTTTGTGAATTTGATAAAAATAAAAAAATATATATGAGTAGGGGTTTTATGACCACCTTTGATATTTGAGTGAGATTTGAAAAATCAATGAAAGTGGGTGTTTAATATGTTCTCGCACAAGTTATTTTGGGCGTCATGTATGTGATGTGGACTTGATTCAACTCAAATTCAACCAATTTTTGTGTCATTGGGTCTGTTTTGTCAGGTCTTTCAGTTTGACTTTAAGTTTACTGAAACCAAAGTTCTGAATGACTTGTAATAAAAGTTTGAATATTTTTTACTAAAAAATTTGTCTGAGATCTATGTAATACCTCGAGATTCATATCAGATGATGTAAATTTATTGATGTCGTATCAGTTGACGTGAAGTATTATTAAAGGAGATTATCTAAATTGAAATTTTGATTTTTTTTTTCTCTTTTTATTGTAATATATCTTCATTATTGATTATATTTTTCTTCTTATTTCCATTTTTTATTTATTTATGTAAAAGCACCCATATTTAATAAATTAGATATAGCAAAAACTTATATTTGGCACGTATTATTATATACTTGAAAAATTTTACAAGGCTCATTGGAAAGCAAGGAAATGGATTTGGTGGGATCTTATAAGCATTGTAAACTATGATTTAATGTACAAGAGATGCAAATCCTATTATGTTATGAGATATTCTAATTTTATGTATATGTTATGTCTTCATGCTTATTGGTTTATATAAAATTTTTGGACTAGATGAAGCATATTTTATTAATTTGATTTGGTTTATTAAATGATGGACTGGTTTTTGTCATTAACTTCAAAAGAAATTTGAATGGTATGAATAAAAAAATGTTGTTTTTGCGTAAGTTTTTTTTTTCTTTCTTCACAAATGTCCCCAATTGCCAGAAGGATCATTTTTGTTCAAGTTGGTTATTATGAACCATGAAAACAATTCTTATGCATTTACATATCTAACATGAAATCCTGTTTGGATCAATGAAACAACTCTTTCATAAATACGTAATTTTTTTAAGAGTTGCATGCTTATTTATTTTGCGTCATACAAGAGAGGGATTTCACGCATGTTATCCTAGATAAGTAATTTAGCCATATTTAAAAAAAAAACTATGCAGATATCACGCCATGCACTGTGAGGTTGATGCCATCATAAACTTCAAGAGCACTCGATTTCCCAAAGAATATTGTCACTGTAAATTGTATTGTACGGTGTTTACAGGCCATAAAGGTGGCAACCAAGGGTGTGAACGATCCGATTTAGAGCCAATTTAGGGATGGCTCAAAAGGCCGGCTCGAAATCGGATTGAATTTTTTTTTAACCAGATCGTAGATTGATCATACTAAATTTTGATCTGATATGGTGTGGATTGATCCAATTTTTGAGCTGGCTTGATTTGTAAATGAACCAGCTCAAATGTCATTTTTGGCTCGTGAGTCAGATCAGTCTGGCTCGAACCCACCTTGTCCCATCCGACCAACCTACCAGAAAAATTGTAATTTTCTAGGAAAAGAGGGGATTTGAACCCCTGTCACTTTACTCAAACAAAAAATCCCTCACCAATAGAGTTGGCAATGTGTTATACATGTAAAACTAAAAGTTTAGGAGTTAAATATGTAAATAAATAAGAATTTATTTCGATCATGGTCAACTCCCAATCTGAGCCAAGGATGGATCGAAATCGAATCAAAATAAATTTGATCTTTTAATTTGTCTTGTAGCTCGGCTCAAATGGTTCAATCCTATTTCAATCCTAGCTAAAATTCAATCCGATTTTTGAGTAATTTACCTATCATCTTCATGCCAATTTCACAGCCCTAGTGACAATAGCATGAGAAATTTTACGTATGTCCCAGAACTCGAAACTCGAACAGAACATGACTGCGACTACTTCAAATGAATTGATGAAAGGGATGGTGCAACTTATGACAAAGAATACACCGATAGAAAGGTTAAGTGGTGCAGACTGAATAGTTTTGTTGTAGCCCATTCTGTGTAACCCCTGTAACAAAGTTCTTAGCAACTTTAAATTGAACTGTTTTGGTAAACCTATTTCAAATCCACCACTGAATAAGTCTAATATTTGTTAAATCTCATCATTCACAAGATTTATTAGATTTAATGATTTCTTCTGCACGTATGCCTTAAATCTTGAACATGCAGCCAAATAATTGATCAAAATGCATCAAAATTTAACATTTGACATGCCCAATAGATTTCATGCTTTACTTAGATTAACATTTATTGAATCTAGACTCACGTAATACTACATAAACATACTTTGAATCCTATGTAGCCAAGCAACCGCATTAATGCCTCACAGGAAAGAACTCGCCAGCTTGAATCATCTGCATCCCTAGGAGATTTAGGGTCTGTTTGGGGCAGCTGTAGCTTATTGAATAATCTGTTGATAAGCTGATTAAAAATAATTTGTTGATAAGTTATGTGCGGTGGCGTGTACAAATTTTTATTTTTTTTGGAAAAGCCAGACCGTTGTCAATAAGCTCCCACCGCACCTAGATAGGTGCGGTGTGAAAATGTTATTTTCTGCATTTTGAAAACGCATAAGCTGTCAAAACACAGTTTACCCAAAAAGATGAGCTGTGTTTTCAAAACGTCACCGCACCAAATAAGCTGCTTTAAACGGGCCCTTAGAGAGAGAGATGAACCAAATATGCCTTCACACACACACACACACACACACACACGGAGAGAGAGAGAGAGAGAGAGAGAGAGAGAGAGAGAGAGAGAGAGAGAGAGAGAGAGAGAGAGAGAGAGAAGAAAAGTCTCAACCATAGGCAATGAGAGCAAATTCACAACAACACGATAAGTTAAATCCATAACACGATAGGTGAAGAATTTCATTACAAAAAAATAGGCAACTTAATACGACAAGGAGCAACACTTTTAAAATTTTGAAAATCAAAGTGAATGTCTTGAATAATATGAAGCCAACATTAGGAGTGATTCAATAAAGTTCATCATATTGCCCACTATCAAATAACAAAGTTAATGAGTTTCGACCAATATGAAAAAGGAATCATTTACATGCATACCACACAATTCTAATATTTATAAGGGAAGTACTCAAATAATTACTAAACAAATCACTATGTGCATGAGCGAGTAAATTATGCAAATCACAACAAAACTACAAAAATTAGCATAAGCATGAGCTTAAAGGAAAATATAAAGAAGTGGATCATGCATTATATTAAAAATTAAGTGATCATGCATATCAACTGGACCTACTCATGTACATGGAGTTCTACATACTAAATGGCATAAATGAAGAATCCTATACTGGGTGTCAAAACAAAATACGAAAATTTATTTCCACTCACAACACAACATTTGATTCAATATCAATTAAAATTAGTGTTGAAACATAGTGCAAAATTCTCTTTCCACCCAAAACATGTTTGATTATGTAATATGCATATAAAAGTACTAGAGACATTCACCTATTTCAACTCTGTCCAATCATTCTTATCGAATTGACAATTTACCATGCAAACATGGTCACTTTTTGTTGGTTTAGATCATTCATATGCACTTTCAACTTGTGAAACTTATGATGTTTGTAACCTAAATGATTTGTTCTTGTGATTTTGTGATGCCCATAAAGTCCACAACGGTTGCATTTATAGACATTTGTTTGTCTTCTACTGTTATTTTCTAAGAAATTCTTAAATCTTTTTTTCTTTAGCCTTTCTCTTGACCTAAATGTAATTGGCAATCGGCTTTTCTCCATTGGTCTTTCCCCGAGATCATTAAGATGGGACCTTCGTAGACCATTTTATGATTCCAAGTAAAAAATAAAAAATTAAAAAAGTAACATAAAATATAGATATTAGTTAAACATAAGGACATTGACTACAAACCTAATAACATGATAGTTGGAGTGAACATAGTTGTGTCACAGGGGGTGTTCCTTAAACTCGATAAATGCAGTTGCATAGATGCATAGTAGAACAATTACTTGACAAACTATACAAGTTCATGTTCCAATCTCAATATCAACATTATGTTTACCATTGCTACCTTTAATCTTAGCTTGATGTGATATATATTCCCTTACAGGGTATTATTCTTTCTTTGTGGTTATATTTCTAACATAGTCTGCAGCATAGGAAACTGACTCCCCTTTCCATGCAGTTGCATCTCTCTTCCCTTGTGCTCTTTGTTGCACGGGCATAGCTCTATACATGTCCATCAAGTAAACAATTGTCTTATTTTTGGCTTCCCAATCCAAGAATTAAATGATTCAAATGTGTTATTTGTGTTAGAATTGTTTTTTTATCTTAGCATTAAAACCACTTATATGTCATGTATAAGGAAATGCAATTAAGTAGGAATGCACTTGTAAAGAGGCACTAAAAAGTTTAACCATCTTAATATCAAACTCACGTTGAGTGTATGCATTATTTGCTAAACATACAAGATTTTTAACCATATGGTTATCCTTACAATTAAAATATATATATTTCTTCAAATCTTTCCAAGGATTTAGTAAATAAATTATATGCCTTGCATCTAAAAAAAAAATCTTAATGTCATCTACCAAACACTTTTCCATGTCTTACACAAGACCAGATGTTGCAAATTAGACCCAATAGAAGCTCACAAATATTTTAAAACCCATTTTCAAGTAGTTTTTACTCTAATTCTCCAACTTTGAAAGCTAGAGTGAATAGAGTGTTATCACCACAAATGAAATTGCAATTGATAAAACACCTATATATTTTGACTTCAAATGACATGTGTCTAGCCCTATTAAAGATTTGTAACCTGCTAAGAAGCTATCAATGCGAACTATAAAACTATTTTTGTTATTTTTAGTGAACATTTTGTAGTCACCAACTTGTCTCATTGTTGTTGTTTAATTCTCTTTCCAACAAATCTCTCTTTCGAGAGGAACCAAAGAGAAAGAAAATACG